CTAAGTAAAGATTTCAACAATTTACACACATACACACACACACACAGAGACTGTTTGAGAACTAGTTTTACAGTTAACTCTCATAATATAACTCATTGACAGAGGCCCTGCATGGAGAGTTAGTGCACAGTGATTCCTCGTTAACTTAACAATTATTATTTTTTTTACACTCTTATGTATGACTTCAGTGACCACCACAGGAAGCTCTATTCAGTCTTTTTTTATAATAATTGAGATGTTAAGTGAGGTGCTAGCTTCCTGGTAGGAAGTTTATAACAAAAAAAAAATACTATTTAGACAGCAAATTGAATTCTTTTTATTATGTCTTTCTGTGCATATCTATTAATGTGCCCAGTATTATTGTTACTATAAACTGTTATCATTTTTCCATAAGTTTTCCCTATAATTATCAACTCATTTAAAGCATAATCTATGAAAAAATATTTATGATCACACAGTCCTCCAGTTAGAGCAAGAATTTTCCATCAAATAACTAATTACAACCTGCCCACCATATATCAGAAAGACAAATATATTTAAAAGGAATTATAATAATTTACATTTTTAAACTATTCTCCAAGACAACACATGGATGTATAGTGAACAGTGTTCAAAGAAACCTATTTATTCTCCAAAATAGGTTTTGAAGATAGTTGAATTATCTTCAAAAATCCAGTTTATTTTGCTAGTTACAAGTATAATGATGACACACAAATCTATAATATTATTTTACTTCTCAGAATGTTAATAGGTGTGATATTTTCAAAGTCCTTTAAAAATATAAGAACAAATAGAAAGCATATAAGGATTCATTAGAGAAAATGCTTAAGATTCCACAAGCAGGTGCTATATAAATACAAAATAATATCTATTCAAGTTGGTTTATGTGCTAATGAGTTAAAAAATAAATAACATAACATAAAATTTTAAAAAACTTACAGATGTGACAGTTAAAGACAAAAAAAATAAAATAAATGACAGAAAGTTTGGAAAAGAAGAAACAAAGTTGGCAGATACTGTAGATAACAGGACTGCCTACATAGAAAATCCAAGGTAATACAAAGATATATTAACAGGATAAATGAGAATTCACTTAAGTTATAATTAATTTAGTTTCTATGTTATATATAAATATTACATATTAATTAAAATCAATTTATAATTCATTAATAATGATAAATTACTTGACTTTCTATACAATTATAAGATCTTTACTATTTAAAAATCTGATAAAATTATTTGCAATAATAAAAATGCAAAGTTCTGTGAGCTAACTTCAATAATTTTAATAAAAAATTATGACTTTTTTTAACTTTTATTTAATAAATATAAATTTCCAAAGTACAGTTTTTGGATTATAGCAGCTTTTTCCCCCATAACCTCTCTCCCACCTGCAACCATCCCATATCCCTCTCCCTCTCCCTCTCCCATCCCATTCACATCAAGATTCATTTTCAATTATCTTCGTATACAGAAGATCAACTTAGTATATATTAAGTAAAGATTTCAACACCGAAACACAAAGTGTAAAATACTGTTTGAGTACTAGTTATAGCATTTATTCACATTGTACAACACATTAAGGACAGAGTTCCTACATGGGGAGTAAGTGCACAGTGACTCCTGTTGTGGACTTAACAATTGACACTCTTCTTTATGGCTCTCTTAAGTGGGTTGTTTGTTTTGTGGTTGTGGAGTTTCTTGATCTTTTTGTAGAGAGAATTAAGGATAATCAAATATAGATGGATTCAGAACTGTCATGTATAGTACAACTAGTCTGTTAAAACAGTGGCTCTCTATCAGAGCACCTTTCACCTCCATGGGACATTAGGCATTCTCTGAAGACATTTTCATTGTCACAGAGGAAGGAAATTTGTTCTATGGTATCTAGAAACTGTAGGTACTTACTAGTATGTAGTAAGTAGAAGTCAAGGGTGCTGCTAAATATACTGTAATGAACAAGACATAACCACACAAAAAAAATTTCCCAATCCGAAGTATCAATAATGCTGCTACTGGAAAATCCTCTTCGAAGATGTAATTCACTCTAATTAATCGTAAACTTAATGAAATTCCAAATAATTGCCAGTGCTTTATCCATCTGTGTGCATTGCAACAAGATGACTTTTAAATTTAAATGAAAAACTGAGTGAAAGAAGAAGAAATTTTAAGATGAAAAACAAAGTGAAGTGACTAGTCCAATCAGATCAATAAATAGTAGTCAGGGCAGATAGAATCCACCAAGAGATAGGCAGATAAGCCAGATAAACCAGACAAACCAGATAAACAGAAATTGAGAATCTTTGTATGTTCAAAGTGAATTAGTTGTGGATTGGTGTGATTGTTATTACCCCCAAACATTAAATGTTAAAGGTGACTCAAAATTCTCTTACTTAAAAACTTCTAAAATGTATACCCCTTCTTTGCATCAAATAAAACTCCTTGGCAAACAATTAGTATTAAATCTTAGGAGTTTTTATACATCCTATATAATTTACTTCCTATTTATAGTATACTTCCTATAGAATATATGGAGCAGTAGGAACTTTAAAGCAAAAATGTCTGGAAGTTCTCTTATTGAACTTTTTTTTAAGCTTTATATATTTATTTGAAAGTCAGAGTTACACAGAGAGAGGAGAGGCAGCGAGAGAGGTCTTCCACCCATTGGTTCGCTCCCCAAATGGCCGCAACGGCCAGAGCTGAGCTGATCCAAAGCCAAGAGTTAGAAGCCTCTTCCAGGTCTCCCACGTGGGTGCAGGGGCCCAAGGATTTGGGCCATCTTCTACTACTTTCCCAGGCCATAACAGAGAGTGGGATCAGAAGTAGAGCAGCCGGGTCTTGAGGAAGTCCAATCTTCAGCATGCTACATAAATCCATGAAAGTTAGGATCTACCTACAGTAATAAGAAATTGGTAAAATTGTTGGTCATTTTTGTCCTCAATGGAGAGTTTTCCTAAACAACAGAAAGACTTTATCATAGTATTTTCTTTTCTTTTTTTTTTTCTTTTTTTTTTTTTTTTTTTTGGACAGGCAGAGTTAGACAGTGAGAGAGAGAGAGAGAGACAGAGAGAAAGGTCTTCCTTTTTCCGTTGGTTCATCCCCCCAAGCGCCACTACAGCCGGCGCGTGGCAGCTGGCATGCTGTGCCGATCCGAAGCCAGGAGCCAGGTAGCATAGTATTTTCTTAATGTAACTGAGATGCACTCTGGTTCACCCACCAACATTCTCAGTATTTTATACAAACTGTTGGTGTTAGGAATGAAATTAAACTTGCAGCTTTTATGCAAAATGAGTCTTTAAGCTTCAGGTATCCTCCATGAATAATTAATTATATATCCTATACTAGACTATCTTAGTAAAATGACAGTTGCAGAAGTTGAAATAGTTATTGTTGATGCCTACTATCTTAATAGAAAACGCCTCAGACTGACCTACCCACTAAGAAACTTGTGAGTGTTCCTGGCTTGTTCACCAGCAATCCCCTCCAAAGCTGAACAGTGATCACATTAGATAGGCCATTCTCTCTTCATTGTATAAACATGGGTAACAGAGACTTAGCCGGGTACAGCAATAGAACGCAAGTCTGAATTCTAGAAATAATCTTTCTTTTCCTGAAAATATTTCTTCTTTTCTGGGTAATTAATTCATATGAATTCATATCTATTTATATATATTGCAGGTTGCTTCTTTTTCACATTTCAAACTTTGATACCTAAAGTCTTTGCTTTTCAGAAAACTTTATTTTACAGTGCAAAACAATTTCAATGATTAAGTATTAGCTGCTAAGTTTTTTAGCCACAAATCCATACAAAGGAAGGTTTTGGGACTGAGTAAATTGAATAAAACAGCATTTACTAGACTGAAGAAGTGCACTGAGAGTGTTCTGTCTGTAAATCAGAATACACATTCAGTTGAAGCATATGCACACACGTACATATGTGCAGATATGCTTTGGAAGGAATCAGTGGAATGGCTGGGGTCAGGACCATAAGATCTCCCAGCTTCTCCTTGGGGCTCTTTGAGTTGGACCCAGGCTATGCTCTTAATTTCCCTGTCACAAATGAAGTGAAGATGATGACAATGATTGGTTTCCATAGCATCTGATAGGCTATACATTTTTAGGGACAGAAACTGTAGTTTTACAAAAATATACACTGAATGGAGACAGTATTTCATACAACATTTCCACACATATTAGTCTATGAATTATTAGTAAAAGCATCATATTTGATTGCATTTTGAATTATGGATTTAGTTTTTCAATTCACAATTTAACTAGGAAGAAATACCCAGTATCCATGAAAGGACTTTAAAAAATTAATGATAAAACTCTGTGAGAAGCATATCTAAGTCTAAATGGTGTTACTATTTATATTTGTGATTAATAATCACTTAAATGTTATTTTGAGATGAATTTTAGAAGTTATATGTCTAGTTACCTTGAAAATATTGTTCTGTGCTTCCAAAATGACCATTCTTCATGATTTACTCCCTTCTTCTTTCTAATCATTAGGCTCAGGAATTGTCAGAAGTTGATAAGCTAGTAACTTCTTGTGGGTCAAATCCAATCCATTGGCCTGATTTTGTGGAGCTGATGAGCTAAGACAGGTGTTTTTTTTTTTTTTTTTTTGGCTGTAAAGTAAAAGGAAGAATATTTCCCAGTGAATAAACTGGTATAAAGTCCAAAATGCAGTGTCTGTAAAGCCATGCCCATTTGTTACTGTCCTTGACTGCTCTGATACCATGGTAGCTGAGTTGAGGAGCTGCTACAGATGCAGTGTGAACTGGGATGCCAAATCATTACCATGGCCTTTCACAGAAAACATTTGCTGATCTCTGATTTAGAATCATAATAATTTCTGTGCTCTCAAAATACTGAAAAATGTTTAAGTGTTCAGTGAAGTACTTTAATGTTGGTTTCAAATTGCAGTAAGATCATAGTTGATTTTGTGTGTGTGTGTTAATGAGAATAATTGTAAGGGTTTTGGTGGTTGTTTCTAGGTCTAGCAAAACAATAGTCCTTTCCCAGAAAGAGCACCTGCCGGTCACTCAGGTTGTGATAACAGACACAGGCCGAAGGCATTCTGAAGCTGCTTATGCACTGGGGCCCCTGCTCTGCCACGGGGACAGTAAGTAGTGGCGAGAAAAAGCTTTTTGGTCATACTAACAGGTTTTGATGATAAAAGAGTAGACATAAGCCCTTGTGGTCAGAGAGAAAATTAGTGAAGTGCTGGGACATTGTAATAATATCAGGACAGATTTTTAAAAGGCATGGATATCATGAAAGCACTACAGACACATATTTTGTTAATGAAGTGCAGGTTGAACATGCGTCATCCAAAATACTCAGGACCAGAAAGAAGTGTTTCAGATTTCTTTTTCTTTTTTTTTTGATTTTTTGAATATTGGAATATATGTGATGTGATATCTTGGAGATGGAACCAAGTCTAAACATGAAATTCACTTGTTTAATATACACCTTATACACATAGACTGAAGGTAATGTTATTCTTTTCTATTTTATTTACTTATCTATTATGTAAAGGTAATTTTATGCAATGTTTTTACTGCATCTGCATTTTTTACTGATATATCATATGAGATCAGGTGTTGAACTTCCCATTTTTGACACTACATCATTTCTCAAAAAGTTTCCTGTTTTGAAGCTTTTTGAATGAGTGATGCTCATGTGGGAAACCTAGGTTGAGTTTCTGGCTCCCAGTTTCAGTCTTTACCCTGTCCTGGCTTTGCAGGCATTTGGGCAGTGAACCAGCTTTCTTTGTCTCTGTCTGCCAGTCAAAAAAATGTTTTCAAATAAAAAACAAAGTTTTTAAAAACAAAGATAATAGAATATGCTTAAGTTTTAATCAGTCTGTGAATTTTTCCTAAAACAAAGTGCGCTTTGTTAATCTAAATATTTTGTTCTTTCAGAAAAAGGATTTTATTATTCTTTGAGTGTATTTTGGTTCATTTGTTAAATGCTGTGCATATGGGGCTTGTTGCCCTGTAATGCTGGCATCTCATATGAGAGTCCAGTCCCAGCTGCTCCACTTCTGATCTAGCTCCCTGCTAATGAGCCTGGGAAAGCAGCAGAAGATGGCTCAAGCACTTGGACCCTTGTCACCCCACATGGGAGATCTGGATGGAGTTTTTGAGCTCCTGCCTTCACCGTTTTGGGAGTAAATCAGTGTATGGAAGATTCTCTCTCTCTCTCTCTTTCACTCTCTCTCTTTCTCCTTCTCTCTCTTGCTTTCTCTCTATCTGTAACACTTTCAAATAAATATTTATTTATTTAAGATAAATTTTAAGAGTTACAGAGAGATGGAGAGATAGAGAGAGAGAGATTGAGAGATTCTTTCGGGTCTCCCACATGGCTAAAGGGGCCCAAGGACTTGAGCCTTCTCCTCTGCTTTCCCAGGTACATTAGCAGGAAGGGAGCTGGATCAGAAATGGAGCAGTTGAACTCAAACCAGTGCTTATATGGGGTGCTGGCACTGCAGGCCATGGCTTTACCTACTACACCACAACACTGGTTCCTCAAATAAATAAATCTTAAAAAAAGAAAATGACCATTGTCAACAACCATGATAATAATTCAAGTGTAATCAGTAAGTTTTAAAATCAATGGATAAGAGTTTGAAAAAATTAGGTGTGTTTTATAGCCTTAAGGTGTCAAAACATTCATGAATTGCAGAGAGAAAAGCATTAAGTATCTATGGGAGAAACTTGACAGATGCCCCTTCACAAGGCAGACAAAGCTAATATGACAAGTAGTGGGACTAATCAACACTGTGTCCCTCCCGATGGGATACACCAAAGAAAGCAGCATCACTTTTAGACCATAAACTCTGGAGTTGTCTCAGATCTTATTCATTCCCTTACCTTCCAACATCCAGTTCATCAGTAAATCCTATTATTTCTCACTTTAGCCCTATTCTGAATCTAGCCCTATCTCACCGTCTCCACTACAACTCCAGTTCAAGCTGCCATTGTCTCTTGCCTGCATTGTTGGCTGCCATCTCGTAACTGATCTCACTGGTTTTGTTTTGCCTTCTTTAGCCTTTTCTCAACACAGAATTCTGTTCCTCAAAATAATCACCTTTTGGCTGTTGATGTCATGATAATGTGAGAGGAATGTTCAGAACTCTCAGTGAAGACTTATGTAGTTATTCTTGTGGTTAGCAGTAAACATGTAAGTATAAAATGTGGTTTTTTTGTTTCATGACTTTTTTTCTCTTTTGTGTTTTTTTCTTTTTGTAAACAGACTCATTTTGGAATTCCGCTTCCTTCAACACTGAGACGTCATACCTTCACTTCCCCACTTTGCATGGAGAGTTTACTGCGGACGTATGTTTCTTTTTTAAGACTACAGTCTCCTCTGGTGTGTTTATGGAGAACCTGGGGATCACAGACTTTATTAGGATAGAGCTGCGTGGTACGTTGCTCACTCCGGCCAAGTCAGGGGATGCCCATGATTTAGCAATAAGAGCTTCTGTAAAGTATCACCATGCTTATTTTATAATTGTGTTTTTAATTTAATCATTTTAAGAGGAACAAAAACTGTGAGGTATGAAGCACATAAAAATTCATCAAAATGTGCCTTCTCCACTATTGCCGAGTCTGTTCACAGCTTTAAATCAAACTCATCAAATTGCTAATTGAATTATAATTGACCAGACATATTATTTTTCATGCACTCGAAGCTTAATTAATTACCATCAGATTTGTTAAATGTGTTTTCAAATTAGATGAGATTTTTGAGCCGTTTGAAAATAAAATTACTTATACATAAAATGCTATTTGGATTCTAACTGTGGGTGTGTATCTTTAATATTTAGTATTTAGCAAGACTGAATAGTATTCTCTGAAGATAATTACCATAAAATCAGCTTTGTTCTGTTTTCTTCTCTCTAGGAGACACATTTATTTTGCCCTCCATCCCCAACTCAGTGTCGCATTTTCTGCAGCAGTGTCATTTTCTTCTTTCATAGTGAGCATGTTGTGTTTTCCTGTGTCTGCTCCTGAGGAGACAAATGTTCTCCCCTGTGAATTAACATGAACAATATCCATATATGTATTTCCAGCTCCCACAGAAGTGACCTTTTCCTTTGATGTGGGGAATGGACCTTGTGAGGTCACAGTGCAGTCGTCCACCCCCTTTAATGACAACAAGTGGCATCATGTGAGGGCAGAGAGGAACATTAAAGGAGCATCTTTGCAGGTCGATCAACTCCCTCAGAAGATACACTCTGCCCCTGCTGATGGGCACGTCCGTTTACAGCTCAACAGTCAGCTCTTCATTGGTGAGTGCTATTGATTGAAATTGAACTTGGTGTGAGTGCAGAGTTGGGCCTAAAGAAGGTCATTACTACAAAAGTACTTTCAGTAACACTTGAAAACAAGTGCTACTGCTATTGACATAATTTATTGATAACCTAGAGGTCAGTTCTAGAAACTTGCTGTGTACTTTTTATTTTGTTGATACCATTTTTTAAATCCATCTACATATGAGATAACCAAGTCTCAGAGAGGTAGAGTAGCCACTTGGTAACAGGACTCTGAACCCCTGATGGCCAATTCCCAAGCTTGAAAAATTCATATTACAGATGACTGGCATTTGTGACAGCTATATTTTATCCTCACTATTAGTGTGACAGCTAGAACTTTTTATTCACTTCTTCAGGTTCACTTCTCAATGCAGTTAGCTAATTTGTGTTATAATTGAAACAGAAGTCCCCCAGTGTCCACGCAGCAACACATCCCACAGTGTGTCCATAGCAGGCTTTTAGGCTCCCCACTCCTGTCCCCCCTCCTGGTACTCTCACCACATGCTTCTTGTTTACAACCACATCTTGCTCCTTTAATCTTGCAGTGTATTTAATTTTTTAAAGATTTACTATTTATTTATCTGAAATGCAGGGTATCCATTTAAAGATTACAGCTCTGGGTGATGGAAGTCTTTTCTTCAATTTACTTATTTATTGTTTAATCATTGTTTATTTTTTCCAAGGTGGAAAATATATTTTGCTATATTACTTTTCAGACTATTCTATTCTAACTTAAAACTGAGCACAATGAGGGAGTAGCTCTCACTTGCTAATTTCTTATGCATTTTAAAGCACATCAAGAACACAGTTCAATTAGAAATTGGACTAAGTCACAAATGATCACACAACCTACTTTATAGGGGGATGCATGTGACTTACGGGTACTAAATGCTGCACAGTGAATTCAAACGCATGTGAGTGTGTGTGTATGTGTGAGTGAGAGAGAAAGATAATGTATGTGTGTGTATGTGTTTGCAGGGGGTGTGTATATACCATGGCTCCATAAAAACTAGCTCTAGACAAAATGCTGGTTATATTATAGCAAGAAGAAGCCTTTTCAAAAGGCTTGAACTCATCAAACTACCTGAAAGGAAGAACACAAAGTGAGTCAAATTAAGGAACTTGTTTTTCTCTCTTAGTATCCTTCAGATTATTTAGTGGAATACCTAGAAACAAAATTAGTATAAAATTCACCTATAATAAGCATTCACACAAAGGTAAGTTTTATAAAACTGGTGGTTAGAGCTGACATTGTGGCACAGTGGGTTAAGCTGCACCCATGACACCAGCATCCCATATGAGTGCTGGTTCCACTTGCAGTCCAACACTCTGCTAATGGCCTGGGAAAAGCAGCAGAAGATATCCCAAATACTACTCATGGGGAAGATTCTGATGGAGTTTCAGGTTCCTGGCTTCAACCTGGCTCAGCCATTGCCATTGTGGCCATTTGGGGAGCGAAGCAGCAGATGGTTATGCCTCTCTCTCTCTCTCTCTCTCTCTCTGCCTTTCAAATAAACAAAGCAAGCCTTTTAAAATAAATAAATAAAATTGTGGTTGAACCGCAGACTTTAGAATCACCCAAAACCTGGTTGAAAATTCAGATTTGGAGCTACTTAACAGAATCTCTAAGAGGAGGCTCAAGAATCTGCATTTTTCACACTCCAGGCAATTCCTGTGTTCCTAGACTCATGTTTGTAGAATTCTGGCTTATATATCATTCAAGTTTAATATGATAAAATATCCATGTGTGTATTATTCAGTTAATGCCATTTTACCACACTATCATCAGAAAGGAATGCATAGAACAAGGGATAACTTGCATCAGATATTTTATTTTATTTTAATTTTTTTAAACTTTTGTTTAATAAATATAAATTTCCAAAGTACAGCTCACGGATTACAATGGATTCCCCCTCCATAACTTCCCTCCTACCCACAACCCTCCCATCTCCCACTCCCTCTCCCATACCATTCACATCAAGATTCATTTTCAATTCTCTTTATATACAGAAGATCAGTTTAGTATATATTAAGTAAAGATTTCAACAGTTTGCACCCACACAGAAACACAAAGTGTAAAATACTGTTTGAGTACTAGTTATAGCATTAAATCACATTGTACAACACATTAAGGACAGAGATCCTATATGAGGAGTAAGTGTACAGTGACTCCTGTTGTGGACTTAACAATTGACACTCTTTATGGCATCAGTAATCACCCTAGGCTCTTGTCATGAGTTGCCAAGGCCATGGAAGCCTTTTGAGTTCACTGACTCTGATCATATTTAGACAAGGTCATAGTCAAAGTGGAAGTTCTCCCCTCCCCTCGGAGAAAGGTACCTCCTTCTTTGATGGCTCGTTCTTTCCAGAGTGTCTTGGCTTTCCATGCCTAAAATACTCTCATGGGCTCTTCAGCCAGACATGAATGCCTTAAGGGCTGATTCTGAGGCCAGAGTGCCATTTAGGACGTCTGCCATTCTGAGTCTGCTGGTATCCACTTCCCATGTTGGATCATTCTCTCCTTTTTAATTCTTTCAGTTAGTGTTAGCAGACACTAGTCTTGTTTATGTGATCCCTTTGACTCTTAGACTTATCATTATGATCAATTATGAACTGAAATTGATCACTTTGACTAGTGAGATGGCATTGGTACGTGCCACCTTGATGGGATTGAATTGGAATCCCCTGGCATGTGATATTATAATATGATTTCATCCTTCCTGTTTCCTTGCCTTTGTAAACTTTTCTTACTTTGTTTTGGGAGTTTGCTAGGAAATTTATCTTCATACATTCTTATTATTCTAAAAATTTTGAATATTCATATATAATCATGATGTATGTTATATTTTCTAATGTTGCAAACATTTATTTTAAAAATAGTACAGAGCAGATTTTGGATTCAAAAACCACAAGAGACATAATCAGAAACAGAATATAATTGGACCAAAGAAAAAAAAGGACAAAGCCATAGGCATTTCAGAAGGGTAAATAGTGGAAAACTATTTACATGTCTTTTGTAAAAGAGCAAGTCTACAGAAGAGTATAATACCAAGATATAAATACAAAATATAGTGCCATATGCCATCTAAAAGAAGAGACTGGAACCTCCCATGGAACAGGCAGTCAGGGGAGCTGCAAGGGTGTTTCATTTTGTCTGCAGTGCTGCCTACCTGAGCTTTTCTTTATTTGAAAGGCAGAGTTACAGCTAAAGAGAGAGAATCTTCCATCTGCTGGTTCATTCCTAAAATGTCTGTAATGGCCAGAGCTGAGCCAGACAAAAGCAGGGAGCCAGGAGCTTCTTCCAAGTCACCCATGTGGGTGCAGGGACCCAAGTACTTAAGTCAATTTCTGCGGCCTTCCCAGGCACATTAGCAGGGAGCTGGATCAGAAGTGGAGCCGTCAGGACTGGAATACGCCCCCACCCATATGAGATATTCACGTCACAGGTGATGGCTTTATCTGCTAGGCTACAATGCCAGCACCCACGGAACACGTTTCTATTTGTAGTGTTTCCCTTGCAGGAGGCACGGCCAGCAGGCTGAGAGGCTTCCTGGGGTGCATTCGGTCACTGCAGTTGAATGGTGTGTCCCTGGATCTGGAAGAAAGAGCCACAGTGACACCAGGAGTGGAGCCCGGGTGTGCAGGACACTGCAGCAGCTATGGACACTTGTGTCGCAATGGAGGGAGATGTCAGGAGGAGCAGAGAGGAGTGTCTTGTAACTGCACGTTGTCTGCATATGATGGGCCATTCTGCACAAATGGTGAGTGTGACCAAAGAGCAAGTTACAGGGAATTGAGGGGACACTTAATAAAGAACACTGCTGGCATTTGATGTTATAACAAAAGGGCAAATTGTAAAATTATTTGAAATGGAATAATTTCTATTCCAAATTCCATTAAGGGGGATATGACTATTTTGAAAACCTAAGATTGTTAAATAGGTTATCAATCTCCCTTGGATTTCTTACGTGGAAGATATCTGTTACCCCCATATTCTATTTAATGTTAATGCTCTCAAAACAATTTGGTTTTTGAAACCATATCCTTGGGGTGTTCTTGCTTTTCAGATCGGTAAAGCATTATTGTTATTTGTGGTAATAACTTGAAGTGATGCATGATTTTTTAAATTGTGTTTTCTTATTAAATAGTTATATTAACTAGGAGAGAAAGTATGTATTTAATTAATACTGACATGTCATTCACATGACCACTCAGACACTTTAACCTGGGATGTTTGACTGCCTTTTTTTTTTTTAAGATTTATTTATTTGAAAGAGAGAGAGAGGGGTAGATATACACACAGAAACAGAGAGAATGAAAATTCTTCTATGCTGATTCACCCCACAAATGGCTACAACATTTGGGACTAGGCTAGGCTGAGGCCAGTAGTCAGGAGCTTTATCCAGGTCTCCTACGTGGGTGGCAGGGGATTAGGTACTTGGGCTATCTTTCGCTGCTTTTGCAGGCACATTAGCAGAGAATTGTATTGGAAGTGGAATAACTGGAACCAGAACGGGTGCTCACATGGGATGCTGGCATCACTGGCAATGGCTTAACCCATTGTCCCGCAGTGCTGGCCCCAACTGTTCTTACAGGAATATCATGGCACATGCCATGTTTTTAAAAGAGGGGAACTGACTTTGGTATTAAGTACACTGTACTGACTTTATATATACTTAAATTTGTAATACTTTGATGGAATTTCTATTTAATCATCAAAACTAAATTTAGCAGCTTTTTAAAGTGCCTCTGGTCTGTCATGCATATACAAATACTATATTTAACAGCATAATTGGTCAAACCTAATGGTTCTTATGAAAACAAGAGAAATGTTGGTGGTAGGCAGTTAAGAGGAGGATAACTCCAGGAGAGCAGCAAGTTAAATCATAGGCAAGCTACAAGACTAAAAGACAGAACCAAGGAATGAGACAACTAAGAAGCTTCCTTCTGAAGTCATAACAAGTCTCAAAGACTGAAATCAAGACTAATCCTGTGGGAGGAGGGGAAGGAGAGAGGACTCGATTTAATTAAATCAGACTAAAGCAATTTAAATTTCAACTCTAGAGCCTTACTGAATATGACAATATGTAGAAGCTAACAAATCTGCATGATACCAACACAGGCAGATAGGTTAACACAGAGAAAAGATTAAAAAAAGAGAGAAGGAGAACAGTGGCATTGTGGCACCGTGGGTTAAGTATGCAACCGCAGCTTCCCATGTTGCAACATAGATTGTGTCACAGCTGCTCCACTTCCGATCCAGCTCTCTGCTAGTGCATTTTGAAAGGAAGCATATGATGGCCCAGTTACTTGGATCCCTGCTACCTTTGTGGGAACCCAGATAGAGCTCCAGTCTCCTGGCTTCAGCCTGGACTAGTCCTGGCTGTTGCAGCCATTTGGGGAGTGAACAGGCAGGTGGAAGTTCTCTCCTTCTCTCTGCCTCTCTTACTCTGCCTATCAAATAAATAAGTCTTAAGAGAAAGGGATGAGGGGGGAGGGTGGGAGCTGGTCAAAGAGAGAGCCTTTGCAGTAATGTGTGGCCTCCCACATTACTGCATATACGGAACCATATACTCCAGGAGGAATGACATCTGAGACCTATACTTCTAAGGAAATAGACTTGGTTGAGATTGCCCAGCTGAGTCACTAAACTAACAAAAAGCCCTGGAGAGAAACTATTTAGAAAATTGTTAGAATATTGTATCTTAAATATCAAACTTTGGGGCCTGGCGTTGTGGTACAGTCTGTTAACCTGCTGCCTAAGATGCTGGCATCCCTTAAGGGGCACAAGTCTGAGTCCTTACTGCTCCACTTCCATCCCAGCCCCCTACAAATGCACTTAGGAAGGCAGCCGGTGACCACCCAAGTATTTGAGCCCCTGCCACTTACATAGGAGTTCCAGGCTCCTGGCCCAACCCTGGTCATTGCAGATATTTGGGGATGAACTAGCAGATGGAAGATATCTTTTTTTCTTTATTCTCCTCTCTCTCTCTGTAACTCTGGCTTTCAAATAAATAAATCTTTTTTAATATCAAATTTTAAAAATACAAACCACCTACCTCACAAAGGATTAATATCCCAAATATATTAAAACAACCTAAAAACCTCAACAACAAAAATCAACCAATCCAGTTAAGAAATGGGCAAAGGTCTTCAATAAACAGTTCTCAAAAGAAGGAATACAAATGGCCAACAACTATATTTAACAAATACTCAACATCACTTACCATCAGGGAAATGCAAATCAAAACCACAATGAGATATCATACCACACTTGTCAGAATGGCTAAAATCCAAAACAGAGAGAGTACAAAATGCAAAGGATGCAAAGGGGAACACTTACACACTGTTGGTGGGACTGTAAATTAGTATAGCCACTGTGGAAAACTGGATGGAGTTTTCTTAAAAAACTAGAAATAGACTTGCCATATGATCTGGCAATCCCACTTTTGGGCATATACCCAAAAAACTTGAACACAATGTCTCAAAGAATATCTGTACCACCATGTTCATAGCAACACTGTTCACAATAGCCTAAATCTGGAATCATCCAAGGTGTGCATCATCAGATGAAGTGATAGAAAATGAGGTATATGTACACAATGGAATATCATTCAGCTATACAGTAAAAAAAGAATGAAAGAAGTACAAAATATATAAAAAGTATAAAATGAAAGAAGTATAAAAAAAAGAATGAAATTCTACCATTTACAGCAAAATGGACACAATTGGAGTACATCTTGTTTAGTGAAATAAGCCAGACCCAGAAAAACAAATACTGCATGTTCTCTCTTGCAAATGGGAGCTAAAATTTAAAAAAACAACCAAAAAAAAAGAAGAAAGAAAAAAGAAATGTTTACTTGTATCAACATTCCTGCAAATATTGTTTTGTAAATTTTGTTTTATAGCTTTGTGAAGCCAATGGTTAAGTAGTATGGTTTGAATGATCTGTGAGTACTTTATTTATTTATTTTTATTTGACAGGTAGAGAGAGAGAGAGAGAGAGAGAAAGGTCTTCCTTCCATTGGTTCACTCCCCAAATGGCCATAACGGCTGGTGCTGCACCAATCCGAAGCCAGGAGCCAGGAGCCAGGAGCCAGGTGCTTCTTCCTAGTCTCCCACGCGGGTGCAGGGGCCCAAACACTTGGACCATCCTCCACTGCCCTCCTGGGCCACAGCAGAGAACTGGACTGAAAGTGGAGCAACCAGGACTAGAACCCAGCGCCCATATGGGATGCAGGCACCACAAGGTGGAGGATTAACCAAGTGTGCCACAGCGCCAGCTCCTGTGATTACTTTAAAATGTACTGTGTATGGGGGAAATGGTCATTTTTCCATTCAAGTATCATTTATAGAGGTTGTCTTTTTTCCCCCTAAATTAGGGCCTTTTTGCTTTTTATTTTTATTTTTGTCTTTTTTTATTTCTTACTCAGTGAAGTATTAAGCCTTTTTACTGTAATGTAGATTTAAAATACGTTATCTCAAAAACTATAAAAAGGGGGTAAGAAAGAAAGAGGGTGGTAAGGAGAGAAGGGAAGGGAGGGAGTGAGGGAGGAAGGGAATCATGTTCTTAGAATTGTATCTACAAAGCACATTGAATCTGTTAAAAACTAATTAAAAATTAAAATTCAAAAAGTTTTAGAAAGTCAAATTCTAATCAAAATTTAAAATCATAGATATGCAAAAAAAAAAAAAAAAGAGAGCATAATCTACTAAGGGGGGAAAGTAGGCTGTAGAAGCTATTTTAGGGAGAGTCTAAATGTCAGGCTTGCATGGCAAGGATTCCAAAATAGCTATTATAAAAATGTTCAAAGAACTAAAAGTAACACTATATTGTAAACTGAATGTGTGTTTCCTACTGAAATTCAATCACAAATGTGATGATGGTTTGTGAAGGGGGTCTTATGGGAGACTATTTGGGCTTAAGTATAAGTCATGACAGCTTAGCTCTGGTGATGAACTTGGCACACTTAAAAGAAAAGGAGTAGATCAGAGCCCTCTCTTTCTCTCCACTGTGTGCAGATACGGAGAGAAGGATCTGCAAACCAGGGGAAGGACCTTCACAAGAAGTATGTTGGTACTTTTGCTATGGGTTTTATAGTCTCCAGAACTATAAGGAAAAAGCGTTTAACCTACGTAGTTTATGGTATTTTGTTATAACAACCCAAACAGACTAAGGCACCATGCTTAGAAAAGTGAAGATACGGGGTGGACATTGTGGTACAGGTCAACCTGCCTCTTGCAACACCTGCATCTCATTTCAGTTCAAGACCCAACTACTCTGCTTCTGATCCAGCTCCTTGCTAATTCACTTGGGAAACAGTGAGTGATAGCTTAAGTTCTTGAGTTCCTACTGCAATGTGATTGACCTAGATGGAGTTTATAGTTCCTGGCATCAACCTGGCCCAGTGCCAGCTGTTGGGCCACTTGGGGAGTAAACAAGCAGATGGAAGTTCTATATCTGTCACTCTGCCTTTCAAATAAAGAAAATTAAAAAATGTGAAGGTTATGCTGACAGTATATCCTTGAATATAGAATTATAACAAATATTTTTAAAAGAGAATTAGAAATTATATCATTAAAATGTACAATGATTGTAATGAAAATTTAACTAGAGAGTTTCAACAGATTTACAGTGATAGAAGAAGGAATCAGCAAACTTGGAAGATGGATCAATAAAATTATCTATCCTGTCCTAAACAGCGTTCTGGCCTCAGAATCAGTCCTTAAGACATTCGGATCTGGCTGAAAAGCCCATGAG